AAGATAAACAAACTATCTATAATGCTTACAAGAATAGGCTACATCCTAAAATATAATTAGAAGTACAATTAGCATCAAGCTACACTTGAAAATGTATGTAAGTTTCGCTTTTTCGTGCTCAGTGTGGAAAGGCCTTGAGCGTGAAAAAGCGAAACGAATATCGGACGCGATGACGCGCTGGAATAAAACAACAGATTCCTATGGATGCTACTACACAGACCGCCGAAAATGCGAATGTTTTTTTTCGAACCAGTCCGACGAATCTTTTCAGTTTCGCAAAGCAAAAACACGGGCCGTCCAATAAGATTTGAGCTAGGATCACGTGACTGGAGCAGCTGCTGTTGCACAAAAAGGTGAGAGTGGTGGCGCTGTTTCGAAAACCAGTGTAAACAAACACCGAAGAAGAGTATCCTGGATACTCTTGTTATCGTTGGTATTTGAGTACAGATTTATTCTCACATGTTCTTTATACAGAATAACATTTCTAATAATTCTCCACTGAATCATGTGATCTGTAGAGAAACGTCCGTTTTCTTCCACGTGCGCAAGTGTTATATGAGTCAGAGCGCGTTCACTCTCTAGATCTTCCGTATAAAAAAAAAACCCAGAGTGAAACATTTTTCTACACATGAAATATGAAAGCAAATAGACATATGATTATGACGATATATTTTCTGTATGTTTTTATGCAGCTCACGGTATTTTTATAACAATAAAGGATGTTTATGACAAGCAGGTAGCGTTCAGTCTATTATAAAACATACAAAGAGTGCATGTCTACCTATTATAGAAATCAAAATCCATTTTAGATCACAATCGGAAGTTATTACAAGCACTTGATGATGGTTTAAAGTGGGGTTTGAGCAAAAACATTAAAGGGGGTCATATGATGTTGCTAAAAAGACGCGCTGGAATAAAACAACAGATTCCTATGGATTCTTCCACATAGACCGCAAACATTTGCGCACCAAAAATGCGAATGTTTTTTTTTCACACCAGTCCGACGAATCTTTTCAGTTTCGCAAAGCGAAAACACGTGCCGTCCAAAAAGATTTGAGCTAGGATCACGTGACCGGAGCAGCTGCTGTTGCACAAAAGGGTGAGAGTGATGGCACGGTTTCGAAAACTATTGTTTGTAAACAAACACGAAGAAGAGTATCCAGAGAGAGAAGAATTAATTCTTGTTATCGAATAACATTTCTAATAATTCTCCACTGAATCATGTGATCTGTAGAGAAACGTCCGTTTTCTTCCACGTGCGCAAGTGTTATATGAGTCAGAGCGCGTTCACTCTCTAGATCTTCCGTATAAAAAAAAAACCCAGAGTGAAACATTTTTCTACACATGAAATATGAAAGCAAATAGACATATGATTATGACGATATATTTTCTGTATGTGTTTTGTATGCAGCTCATGGCATTTTTTATAGCAATAAAGGATGTTTATGACAAATCCCTGTTGAAAAAACCAGCATATGCTGGTTAGGTATGTTTTGACGCTGGGATGCTGGTTTAAGCTGGTCCTTTGCTGGTTTATGCTGGTCCTTTGCTGGTTTAAACTGGTCCTTTGCTGGTTTATGCTGGTCCTTTGCTGGTTTAAGCTGGTCCTTTGCTGGTTTAAGCTGGTCCTTTGCTGGTTTAAGCTGGTCCTTTGCTGGTTTAAGCTGGTCCTTTGCTGGTTTAAGCTGGTCCTTTGCTGGTTTAAGCTGGTCCTTTGCTGGTTTAAGCTGGTCCTTTGCTGGTTTAAGCTGGTCCTTTGCTGGTTTAAGCTGGTCCTTTGCCAGCACATGACCAGCATAAACCAGCAAAAGAACCAGCATAAACCAGCTGTCATCATTTACTCGCCCTCATGTAAGAAATCTGTACGAGTTTCTTTCTTCTGTTGAACACAAAAGAAGATATTTGGAAGAATGTTGAAAACCAAACAGTTGCTGGTAGCCACTGACTTCCATAGTATTTTTTTCCCTTTCTATAGAAGCCAATGGCTACCTGTTATGCTTTACTGGTATTTATTTATTCATTTACCGACTGAATTGTTACAGACCCTTAAAAATGTACTAATAGTATACATTGTATATTGACTACACATTCCATGAGGATTTTTTGTCTGTGCATTTTCGGTAACTCTTTTTGCAGGTACATGTTTACACCTGTAGGTGGCATCTTTAATAGTGAGTGATTGAAACAATTGATTTACCGATTCTTTAAAAAATGCTGATTCGTTCAGGAACTGACTTAATGAACAAATCAATGAATTGTTCGCGAAACCTATTCATTTAAAAACATTCAGGAACAAAACATTACTACTTTTATGAGAGTCATTAAATGAGCCATTTTAAAAATTCATTCAACAACACTATTTTACTCAGGATTCACTCTCTCTACATACTTGTTTTCAATTGTCTGACTCACTCATTTTATATATAATATTATAATATATTTTAAAGAATATTATAGAATAATATAATTGCAACAGCGCCTCCTCAAGATATTGGAAGAGAAAAAAATTGTACAAAAATAAAAATGCCAATATTACAAAATATAACATTAAAAAGTGTATAAATCACTCGATTTTCTAAAGAAACATTGTCCAATAGCGACACCAGGAGGTAAAGGTACAGCGAGTGTCTCTCGCTCTCCCTAAAGCTGGCAGTGAGTTTGGTGGGGGGTAATTGAGAATGAATGGGGGAAAGTCATGTGAGAGGAGGCAATGCCTCCATAGCGATATGATTGGACATGACTGGTTATGTTTGGCAGTGATTGGTTCGTGCAATAAATCCCGCCTCTTGTGTTTGGGCATGTTCGTGAATCAGTCTAAATAATAAACAATATAAAGGAAAGACTAATTTAAAAAAAAGTATACAACTCACATACTTGGATATAACCACTATATTCTTGGCATAATATAGAATATACCATATTTTGACATAATAGTATTTTAGTAATACTTTATCTGAAAACAATGCGGTAGATATTCCTCTTCTCACAAGGTGCCTTTATTAATAACAAAACGTGAGTATCTGTCCCAGCCTTTGTCATTTCCCATCTATGACCTGAAAGTCATGTCTCTCCCTCCGTCTGCTCAATTGGATCTTTCACACCCTCATGCAGCTTTGATGATTTTCAAAGCTTCACATCTCTCCTCCTTGTTCGACAGTACAGAAACCAGTGACTGTGCGTTGACAGTCTGGGCAAGCGAGTCGATGCAGGCGGTCATCCTTACCTTTCATCACGTCGCTGTTAGCCCGAGCGGAGAGGTACAGTGAGAGCGTGTTGTTGGAGGTCAGTTTGTGTGCCTGCCCGGATCAGATGAGATGGGCTTTGATGTTTGGTGGGGGCCCGAGTCGCTCAAGCAGTTCAGATCCAATTTCTGACCCTGTCGTCGACTCTGGGGTCAGGACTCTAATACCCCTCTGGCCTGTCGACAGGGAGGGATTCTGATCCCTGCACAAACTCAGGACAACAGAAAATGCCAAGTGAAATTAGAGCCGTCGATATTAACCTGTGCGCACCACAAGGAATTCAAATGCCGTATTAGTTGGGCAACTGCAGGGTCTGAGTCCGAATCACTCGTAGATTCAGTAGGGCTGGGTATTGACACAGATTTCACGATTTGATTCCAATTCACAAGCTCTTGATTCGATATCAATTAATCTAGATATATCTCAGGTACAGTACTTGTTATTCAGACAGATTTTTTCAAAAATTAAATAAAATAGAAATAACAAAAAATGGTAACAATTCAATTAGGTCCTATTATTTATTATCTTTGGTTAATGCATTACCATTACCTTCTGATGAAATACCTTCTGATCTTCATTTATGTCTATTTCATGCTATAGTAATAAATAGGAAGAGATGATCGTTCACATGCTCTACAGTTATCTGTCATGGCACATTAAATAGTGACAAAACGGCATTTATGGTTTGAATTTAGTAATAAAATTGACAGAATTTGAAAGCTAAAACATTGTTTCTTATCACAAAACGGCAATATTGGTTGGCAGGCATGCTACAAACAATTTTTAGTTAAGTTTTGTTCATGCATCAACAGAAAAGACTTAAAAGCCTGTTCACACCAATGACGATAATTATAGCAATAAATTTACAACAAACTAAAATAAGTAAAAATCATTCTAATTCAATGAGAATAGGGAACTCTAACGGCACAAGGAAACAAAATCATTAGAATCATTCTCTGAACAATTTTTTCCAGCTGATGAACAACAAAACATTGGGAATTAGAATTAAATCATGCATTTAAAGGAGCTGTATGCAATTTTTTGACTCTACTAAAGCATAAATATATTTGCAAATATTTAGGAAACATGCCAAGTACACATATTTGTTTTTCCAAAAAAGAATGCTACGTTCAGTCTGTGTGACTCCGCCCACTGCCAATTTACCCAATAGTATTGCAACACCGCGGGTTGCCAGTAGGTGGAAAACAGCGCATTAGAGCCATGGAATCCTGCAAATTAATTTCATCAGAGATCGCAGATTCTACCCAACCTAAAAAGCCTCGGCATCCATCTAAAAAACTCTATGACCAGAGGTATATTAAAATGTGGAAATCAACTCATCAACTTACAGTGTAAGGCTCGTCCCCTTCCATTTTGAATTGTGCTCGTTCCTGTTGCATGTCCTCAATCTGGCAACCCGCATGAGCGTTGAGTCTGAGGAGGAGGAGGGCGGGAGAATCAATATTTTGAATTTGGACTGCAGTACCCATTTCAACCACTAACTGGCAACATAACATACTGCACATTTAAAGCAACAGCTGACATAAATGTATTAATAAACAGAACATTACAGTATGATGGTGTGGATGCTAATATAGTTCTCTTAATGGTTATTTTTTTTAGCATTAATGGGCCTTAAGAGATCGACCTTGTTATTTAAGAATGGATATCGAGATTAAATGAGGATTGATACAAAAAATGATTGATTGATACTGGCAACTCAGCCCCAATATTCACAGTAATAACAGGAACACGCAAAACAGCTGTCGCGATCATCTCGGATAAAATAAAGACAGCCGTGGGTAATGCGACCGCGTCGACCGGCCGTCTCTGCCAGATGTGACATTTCACGGTGTTCCCATCTAAATGGCTCCGATAAAGAGTTCATTGTGTGGTCCGGAGAGGATGAGACCGGCATAAATGAGAACGGATGAGCCTGGCAGGCAATTCTCATTCAGCACCGGGCTCGGCCCAATAATGAGGTGGATCTCAATTATGCCGCCACGGCGCTGTGAAATGGAGCAGGGGCTCCCACCCCGATGCCTCCGGAGGCCCTTCAAGCCCCCTCGTCCAAACTGAACTGATGGAGCAGAAAAGCCATTTTGATTTTCGTTCTCACCTCCGAAAATACGGTTTGGCAGTGATAATGCCAGGCTGCTGTGTGCTTGCGAAGGGGGTCAGCCGTGGCGTCTGTGGGTCCCTATCGGACGTGCCGTATAGGGGCGTAATTGGATTTGTGCTGACAGTCTGTTGACACAGACGTTATTAACTGGGGTGGCTGGATTGACATGCACTTAGATAGCCACCTCATAAATGCATGAAACTCAGCGCGATAATTGCGATCGCTCTGCTAACTGCGGTGGGCTTGATTAATGATGCCGTCATCAGCATATGCCAAAGCTGACCTCATGGTTATTGAGTTAGCGGGCTAATCAGAGAAGAGGTGGGGCGACTACGGCTCAAGAGAGGCACAAGAGATTGTTGAGGCTCTTCAAACGACTCTTATGACCTAATGAATGCAACAGTTGCCATTTAGGTTCCCGGAGTAATAGAAGCAACAACCAAACAAAGCACAGCGGGATCACTAAAACATGGCCTATAGGCTTTGAGTGGGGGTACAGAACTGAAAATAAAGATATATAAAGTTTACTGTATATATCAAGCAATTGTTTTTTCTTTTATAGTACAGCATGCTCAGAAGTGTTCGCTTATGCTCTCCTGCTTCTTCTATTCGCTCACAAAATGTGCTTTTCCTTGCCTGTCACTCAATACCCTTAGATACAAGAATACTGTCAAATATTTATTATAAAGGCTACAGGATGGTTTCTGACTATCAGCTCCATCTACTGAACCACAGTCAGACAGAAAATCCTTACAGTGTTGACAAAATAATCACATTCTGCACATCACATCTATAAAACGCTGCTGTTTTTATGGTGATGCTAACTATTAATATGGCCAAATTAAAATAAGGGAAATTATATTCACATCCCAAACAATTTTACAAGACAATACTAGGACAATTACTTAGTTTAATAAAGAACGTATTATTATTATTATTATTATTATTATTTAGTATTATTATTATAATGTTAACATGTTTGTTTTCAGAAATATTCATTATATTTCAATATTTTAGATTCATTATCATTATTAGGCAGAAAATACTAGCAAAATAATTAAAAATAATAAATATTATTATTAACATTTTACATGTTAACATGTTACTACTACAAAATATGTATGCACAATTAATTATTATAATATAGTTTGTGTGGCATTGTTAAAATATTTTTTTCAAAAATATCTAGTTATTAAATTAATTGGCATTTGTGTTAAGCACATTTTAGCGATCCTCCCTTCTTACCATTTTCAAAACTACTGGCAGATAAAGTTGAAAAAAAGATATAAAGTGAGGAAAAAAAGATATAAAGTGAGAACTATGGGTACCAGAATCATCTATATATCTCTAAAGTAACTGTAAGATGTGTGTTTGTGTCTTACAGGTGTGGTGCCCAATAGTCTGGGTTTACACAGCCTGCAGCCCAGTCCAGTGGCTCCAGACAGCCAGGCTCAATCTCCCACCCAACTGCAGTACCGCAACAAAGTCCAGCACCGCCGATTCTCCATGGAGGGGAGTCAGGTTTAATCATCTCATCCTTTTCCATGCTAAAGCCCAGCCAAGTGCTCTTTCCAGAGGCTTTGATGGAGTCCTAGTGATCCTAACAGAACAACACAAGCTCTGCTTGTAATCTTGTCTAAGTACTTAATAAAGTCCTTGCCAGAGGCACTAAAGCCTCATTATCAAATGCTTTGTTTCTCTTTAAGGCGAGACTAGGAGACAAGTCACTAAAGCAATGACAAGTTTTTGTCTAAACTAGGGATGTAACGATTCACTGAACTCACGATGCGATACGATTCACGATACTGATTTCACGATACGATTTTCTCACGATTTTTTAACAAAATGAGATTTAAGACAAATTAGAAATGAAAAGGTGTCCTTTTATAATTTCTCAGACAAAATCGCTAAATATTTAATATTTAATAAAAATAAATAATGACTAAATAAATATTTCTTTGTGAAACTGAAATATAGCAAAACAAGATTGTAATTTTAAAACACACTCCAAATCAAATGAATAACACAAATGAAAGAAATCTATCAATATAAACAAACTATAAACAAACAAAGCTTTGACTGTGCTCTTTCCATTTAAAATTAGGAGGCAACCTCTGTAGGCCTATCTTATTTATGATCCAAACAAAAATGCTGCATACATGCAGCATGAGCAGATTTTAATCTAAATTGGATTGTATAATTTCGAAATTTGAAGCCAAAACAGAATGGTCTGACTTTAGTTTTGTGAAACTATACTACATGAAACTTATCTGATCGAAACAAAAACAGCAGACGGCCTGAATGAGACGCAAATACACTCAGCAGGTGGTGCTTATGGAACAGCAGCGATACAGCGTTTCCTTGGTTGCCACTGTAAACAAAGCAGCACTGCGGTTATGAACACTAATTTAATATGCATTATACAGAGGTAAGATGAAAAGAAAATACCATGTAAACTTTTCTAAAGACAGTCAGTTCCCCTCAAAGATATATTCATATAAACTCAAAGTCCCACCCCCAATTGTATCGTGATTTAATTAACATCTCAACCGTTTTTAATCGTTATATATTGGTATTGATTTTCAACCGGCTCGGAGTGCATCGTTACATCCCTACTATAAACACTGCTATATATAATGGGAATCCTTTTAACGGAGGCCCTAAAGGGACACGGTAGTGGTAAAAATATAAAATGGGAGGAAGAATTATATTTGAATGAATTTGCATTCTCCGGTACTTTTGTGTTTCCCTTTTGTTCGTTTCTTGAGTGCTAAGTTTTTCCAGGGGAATGCAATAGTGCAAAGGTTAGGCTTGCCTTTTGATTATTTCTGCTGATGAGTTGGTTACTGCAGAGCACGTTTTCAGTCAGACTTGAGACAGTCTCATGCCGAGACAGATCCTTACCCTGGCGAGCAATTCCAGCTGCAGTGTTGAACTGATTCATCATTGAGAGTCTCTGCATTATCCTGTCTTCTCGTGAATTTACAGGGACGACCAGTCTTTTGGAGGAACTCAAATGAATTAGTGTCATTGTAAAGCTGCAATATTCGAGAAATCACAGATTTGGAATGACCAACTTCACTTGCAATGGCTGAAAGGGTCATCCCTTTGGCTTTCATCTGGACAGCCTACTGGTGCAGGGTTTCAGTCCCCTTAGAGCAGCCCACAATGTTACAATCTCAGTGAAAATTAGAGGAATGCTGCCAATTAAATACCGTTTGTCTCATAATTAAGGAAATTAGCACGTGGCGCCAGATTAACACCAATAACTTGTAGGTGTATGTAAGTGTTCTCTAATTTTGACCAGAGTTCTTTTTCAAATATCAAATGATAATTTTCAAATAAAGTTTTTTACACTGTGCTTCAGAATACAATTAATTTATGAAATATGCTTAAAAAAAACTGCCCTTCTAATCCTGTTAGGATAACTTCAAATGCGACTAAGCACTGACCTTGAAATTTAGGAAATTGTAGGTTGTTCTCTCATTTTGATCTCCACTGTTTGTGTGTGTGTATTATATAGATTATGCACCTTTTATAGATTTTGGTAAATAGTCTAATTTTCTCAAATTTTATTGGGATTTTAGCAGAAATTGTGGAGTGTACATATATAGTGCCATAAATAAGCAAGTTCAAAATATACCATGCCAAGTGGATTGCTGAATGACAACAGACTAATCAGAGGCCTGCCTTGATCAACTTCCCCGTTTTTCTCCTCTCTTCCACCATAATCATCCATGCGATTCAGTATCTGTACGATAGGAAAGCCTCCGTTGGAGGCACACGAGAAAGATGGAGTCCATCATTAAATGGAGTGGAAGTATTATCTGCAAGTTAGTCCGGCGCCACAAAAGACAGACTCCACATTCGGAGTGTTCTTTGCCTCGGCTGTCAGCTTTCTTATTCAGTGGCCATGAATCTAGAGGGGGAAAATTGGAATGAATGCCCTCTCCCATTTTCAAATCCGACAGCTTCTTCTTGCAACCCTTTTATCTGCACCATGCACCCTTATTTTATTCCCACAGGCATGACGGGAGAGCACCGAGGAGAGAGGAGGACTTTTTATTCCTTGATTTTATTGAGAATCGCTGGCTAGTTTTATTGCACGACCGTACAAACTCAGCCACAAGGCAGAGTGGGAGGAATAACAGGGAACGCTCTCATTTTTCAGAGCACATAAGATTCCCCCTCATTGCCGTGCTATTTTTGGGCCTCTCTTAACCATGGTGATGAATCGAGTTACGAACTAACTCCATCAGAGCTTCTTAGACACAAGAAGATTGTTGGTTATACTTCAGCCCGTCGTAAGATA